ACAGCTGGGAAGCAACACTTGGGATAAACTGCTTTACTCTTTGGATAAACTGTTTTATGTGGGGATCTGTTTTTTTCTTTTTAACTAAACCTTCTGGTAAATGTTATTTTTCTCATCCATTGCTCAGCTCTGAAGACCACAGTGGTTTTCAAGACTTTGTTTTTTAATTGCTAAATAAAGGCTTAAAGGCTCCCAGTCTCTAATCAAATCCACAAGACTAATCTCCAGTCTTACCATCCATACACACAGGGCCCCCTTGCAGGGATCATCAGGACCACTTCAGCAACCCTGAACAATTCACATAAGTGAAGATCTGTTGCTCAGTCAGGCCCTCTGGGAGTCATTAATCGACAAATTTTGCAGCAGCCTGAAAATTTAAGGACAAGACACTGCTTTCCCCACTGTTATCTAGAAAAAAAGCCCATCGCTCTAATTTCAAGGGTCGTCTTTCTCTCTCTAGCCTTTCACTGGAATGTTTTCCTAAATTTTAAAGATTACTCCAATCACAAGCAGAAAGGGTTGGAACCAACCTGGGTCCAAGAATCACTTGCTTCTTTCAGATTTCCTAGAGAAAAATGATCTTCTGTTCAATCTTGAAGTACAATTATGTCAGTCATATCTAACTTAGAATTTATTATTTTCCAGTAAGATGAAAAATGGTTTTCTTGGTCGTTCAGATATTTGTACATACACGTTAACACAATAGAAATCCTTTTCTAAGAAGGCCTCCTATCCAGTCCTTCCGTGAATTTCCAGAAAAAAATACGAAAAGTTAATTTTGCTACTATGCCATTATTTTCTATCATTTTAATTAAATTTTCTATGCACACGTGCAATTGGAAACATAACACATGAACTAACACTTCCTCTACCAATGGTGAGGAGAGCTTAAACAGGTCCAGACTAAAAGGCTGGGGGACCAAGGAAGTACCCTGTTAGCCCCAGCAATGGCATGTCATCTCCTCAGCTGGACTTCTAACATTGGCTTCTTGATTACTCTAGTACCAAACAATCTATGTTCTCACGCTGCACTACGGAAATGTGTACCTTCAGTGTGTAAAAAAGTATTAAAAGTGCATTGAAAGGCAGTTCAGGTCTTCAAGCTTCCCTAAATTAAGAAACAACGAGCTACCCAGGCCTATGTCACGCTTCCACTACGATTCCTTTTCCCCTGCATAGTTCAAAGAAAGCTGCAGCTAGATCTGCCTGGAACACATTTAATTCAGGAAGAATCTTTTAAGAAGATATTAGTTGAATTTAAATGTAGCAGATCTCTCCTGAGCATGAGTAAATTTTAACTTTTCAAAGACCTGTGATAAGGTCAGGTTTTCAGATGGCCAGTGGCTCAGCCTGAAAGGTCTGCTCCAAAGCAGCAGAGCTGCCAAATGAAGTACACATAAATGGTCGATTGTTTTCAACAGTGACAAACCAACCCATTTTCTCTAACCACATTTGGATAAGTGGGTAAGTTTTTAAGCAAGGGTAGTTCAAAGAGATATGTCAGTCTCAGATGGATAAAGCAGCATCAGCCCAAATGGGAAGGCTTAGAAAAGTTAAAAGCAGAGCCAAGTTGAAATCAGTCTCCTAATGGAAGTCCTGCATGACCTGTGCTTCGCTCAGTTCTCTTCAGGGCAGGGACTGTGTGATTTGTCTCCATCTTCCACAAAGTGCTGAGTGTACGTCAGCACTTCACCCTACGCAACAGCAACAGTGTAAATGGAAGAACAGTGAACTAGAGAAAACAGAACTGTATATCATCCAAGCAGCTTCTCACTAGCTAATTGTCACTTCTGTGTAATCCCACTCACACACTTACACATTAACGTAGAAAACCATAGTAATACAATGGCTTTTCTTGCTATGTCTTCCTTTTCGGACCCATTGGTATTACAATGAATCACAAATAAATAAATCACTGGGCTTAAAAGTAATTTTCTACTTTTTTGCTTCTGTGTCCAAAGATTGTGTTGCATGAACATCAGTAATTTATTTCAGCAGAAATTTTTGACAGAATCCAAAAATACGTCTTTCATCCCAAAAAAACAAGCTTCATACGAAATGCATCAATTTCTTTAAATTTTTACTGTAAACATTTTGAAGTATTTTTTTTTTAATTTACTCATTTTTGTGTTTGTCTCTAAGTCAAATTAACGGGAAAGGCAACCTTTGAGGACACAAAAAAAAACGTACCTTTTTTTCACTGCTGGCCTGTATGCAATTTCTTCCAGCTCAGTGCTCGTATTAATCCAAGTCAATTGAAGTCAGTGCCTTGTTATAAGAACATAAGCCTGAACTGAGAATATACCTGTCTCTTGGGTATTACACAGAACTGATCTGTAAGGATATTATGCATGTGTCCACAATACACTCCAAATTCCAGGGCTACACAATACACTTTAATATGCTAGTCGGCAAGGCTAAATGATTTGAGAATTTGAAAATGTTTCATATGAATTGGATCTTTTAAGGATTAAGTGTAGCTTGCCTTTGGTTTATATAATGCTGTACAGTAGTCACACAGATGAATTTAGAGATGTGAATTTATTCCTCTACTGTAAGGAAGATACCGGCTACATTGGAAATTGCAAAGGCTGCTTTATTAAGGGACAGCTAAAGCTGAGCAAATAACTCACCTTGAATAATTTATGCACTTATTTTTAATTTTTATTTCAAGAGTGTCTGAGAGAAGATTATGGCCTTTTCAACATACCTCATAACTGAAATTACCCTACGGAATTCCTCACATGAAACCACGTTACATGCCTGATGTTCACAGTTATGCTTAGTTGTGACTGGTAAACAATGGCATAGGCTGTTCTGGCTGAATGATCAGTAACAATCACGTTTCTTGTACAATGTAGACTTTTTTTTTCCCTTGTAATGCTTCATTTTGTCTGCTGTACTTCTATCAAGAACTTGACAAGTTTAGCTGAACATGAAATTAAAAAAAAAAATCATCGCTATTCAACAGATAAGAAAATTGAGAGTACAAAGAAGTTAGAGAGGAAATCCTGACCCATCTCCTGCAGCATCCTTTGGTAATGTGGTGGCTACATCATGCAATGCTGAAGGAGAAGGTCCAATTGATTTAGAATAGCGAAAAACTTAGTTAACCACATCATTTCTTATCAGGATAGAGAAACCTTCAACAGAAGGCTTCACAGCCTAGGGGAGGAAGGTACACACACGTGGAAGGAAAGGGATTCCTTAATACAGAAACTGAAACACAAAAATCGATACATATTTATCCAAAATGAAATCTCAGAGAATCGCAAACAGATCTCACTTCATTTTACTTTCCTCTCTGATTACAATATTCACAAAGAAAATAACAGAGCTCATCAACTTTAGTGTGAGCCAGAGAACTGACTCCAAATTCCGTAAAGAAAAATAAAGGTCTAGAGAGAACAGGATCAATAGTTACTGTCTCAGGAGAAGAGCAATAACAAAATATTTCTATTCATTCAGATACCAAATGATCAGCCTCATTTATCTGTAGCTATCACTCTGCAGCAGCAGAGATTAGGGGTTCAGGTTTCCTTAACACTAATTTCTCAAGGAATCTAGGCCAAGTGCTTTCTAAGGTGACTAATATGATAAAACACGGAAGTTACTAGGAAAGATAAGGAGAAAATGTGTATCTTTAAAGGACATTTTAAAAAACCTATTTCAATGCTTTTTACCTATACTGATTAAAGAGAGCAGCAAGATGTTTTGAGGTTTTCATCTCATGATGGACACAGGAGAAGGCATTATGGAATGAACGGTGACACAAACTGAGAGCCTTTATTTTGCTCTACGTTTGCCATGTTAATTCATGAGAGTTCAATATGGCAAAAGGTAGTATGTTCTTGACATGCAACTTAGAAAAGCAGAATTTCCTAGTATCATACAGCACTGAACAGCACAGGTGATTCCAGAACAAAAGAGAACCAGTTATCCCCCTACTTCTCACCTTTTTAGTTTCTTGTGCAGCACAAAATATTATGAACTTGATTCACCAAATTCACGCTATGCTATATATGCAATCCTGTTCAGAAGCAGAGGAAAACTGAACTCAGCATATTTATTAGCCCCCTCATTTTCCAGTAGACATTCCTCTTAGGAGAGCTGAGTGTATGTGCTCAGAAAGAGTAAGATTACCAAGCTGTTTACTTCTCTTTTTCCAGACTGCTATGAGTGACAGGTACTGGATTAAGCCACCGTGAGAATTTACCTTATCACAAAAGGGTCTGACACAATCAAATGATAAGTATCACCTCCTCAGTGCTCCAGCCACCCCATGATTCATCTACATCTATTGGATTATCACACTCTTTTCTCCTAGCTTTGCCTCAGAATGTTGTTCACCCCACTATCAGCTTCTTTTTAATGCCTCCACCCTAAAGCTGTCATTTCAAGTTAACACAAATCAGCTCTAAATTTTTATATTACTTTGACTTTAAAAGAGATAAACATTTCAATGTGATATCTTAAATAAACCTAATTGGAAAGTTTTCAGCAAAAGTGGGTTATTTTTGGGGGATGGGAGGGAGGCAGAGAAGCCAGGCACTTTAAAAATAAGTTTCCTGAAGTCCTCAATGGAATTTCTAATGAAAAGAGATGTGGCAAGACAGGGAAAACCCCAAGAATGACCAGAATCTCAATGCTCAAATACAGTTTTCATTGACAAAAAGAAATAGGGTTGAAGCAATCTGGAGATGAGATGATTGCCCTCCCTATTTACCTATGTGGAACAGGAAGGACAAGTCAATGACTCCATGCAATGCTCCTCCATGACATTAAGCAAGTTTTTTTCATCTCTCAATTTTTCCAGACAATAAACATCTAACACCATACAGCTGACAAGTTCATTAAAGTATACTTCACCGGGCTGCAGCAAACCTAACTTAACTTATTCTTTAAAAAGCTTCAGTCAAGTGCTTGAGTAGAAGAGGCTATAAAAATGCTCTATGCATCTATATTTGGGCACAATGCATGTTATCAGCAGTGAAACTCACCCAATATAGCAACGACTTCATCATCCTGGATTACTTCCAAAGACCCCGAAACCACAAAGCAAAGGCTGTCGACGCTCTCGCCAGCATGGTAGATCAGGTCTCCCGGGGCACAGTGCACCGTCTGAAATTCCATGGCAAGCGCTCGAAGGCACCCGTCGCTCGCCAGCCTGAAGGCCGGGTGCTCCTTGAAAACTTTGCGGTTCAGATGCACGCAGATATCTGCTCTCATGTCCTTAGGGCATATCTGCAAAACCTGAGGAGGAAATCCGTCAATCAATTCCTGTGCACAGCTCACACGTGCCTATTATCCCTATTTTACTACACAGGGTTTAAGAACTACTTTTCTCCTTCTTAGAAAATTTCTAATCTCAGTCCGTACATTTATTTTTATAAGATTTACACACATAAGCCACAATAATAACTTATTCTGCTTTACAATACCTGAAGGAAAATAATGTTTTCATCTCAGCAACATGCTCCGCTGGATATTGAATTACCAGGATAAGGCCTCAGGTTTTTAAGACAATAAAACTGAGAGCACAACAGTACAGAAAGCGGTGGAGAAAAGCTTCCTGAAGGATTGTTTCTAGAGGGTAGATCAGTCTTTCAATAGGCAGATTCCATGAAAGGTCTGCACAAATTATATGTTCCAAGTGAGAGAATACTGTATAGAGTAGAAGTGTAATCTCATATCCCTTTAGCAAAAAAAAAAAAGGTTATTAAAAATTTCATTCACTCATAATATTGAGATTTGCAGGTATTCAAATTCACCCCTCAGTGGTAGTAACAAGTTTTTTGTTCACACAAGAGAGAGACTTTAAGGTATGATACAGTGTTGGATAACTTTTTATCTTCTCCAAATGCAATGTTGCTCATGACAATTCAGGATGTGTGCTCCTAAGGGTACATAAAATGACACTTAGCATAGCGGGTATCAGTGAGGGCCATTTCTGAAGGTTTTTAATATAATACAGACAGCTGAGTGGAAAGAATACAGAATTACTACTGCACGTACAGATTAAAAGTTCCTGGCAAAAACACTGGAAATATGTAACATGAACAGGGTTTTTGGTATGACAAAATGCTTGAAGGATAGTCTGTGATGAAGTACATCTCAGGATGTATTATTTGAGAAAAACATTGAGTAGTATAAGCCTGTCTCATTTTTTTTTTTTCCCCAGTAATAACTATTCTATCCAATAAGAAGCACTCTGAGTGGGCTTCAGAGTTACTCCTACCCATTTTCCTGGATGGAGAGAGATGGCTGCTTCAATGCAAACACTCCTGAAAAACATAAAGGTAACGCTGGAAGCACAATGGCTATGCCTACACCTCGCAATGGAGCTCTGGGCAAGATCTGAGCAGAGAACCAAGCTCATAACTCTGCGCACAGCACTGGTTCGAAGTGTTAATGCCTGCTGCTCCAAAGGCAAATGACTCTACCACCAATATCATCATCTTTGGCCCAGCTCCAAGCAGTCTTGCTATTACAGATATTACTTCTGAAAGAGATATATTTCTATAGCACTTGAGTCTCTTGGCTGCCCTGCAGGGAGCAGCGGCTGAACCCGACAGTTGTCAGTTTTTCAGGGTCACAGGAACGGGTTGGGGCAGCAAGACCAACATTTAACATGGAACACAGGTGGTGGCCATAGTTGTCTTTGCAATTACCTCATTTACTCTGGCAACAAAAATATTTTGTATTTGCAAATGCTTGCCAAACTTTGCTACTGGAATTACACACACGTGTGCGCTTCACAGTTACTTGAATATCATGCACGAAAAGGGTTGTTGTAATAGAAATAGTAGGAAGAAAACCTGAAAATACAAGAGAATATTTTACATGAGGCACTTCTCCAAAAACGCTTCGGTTTCTGAGTCTAAAAGGAAGTTAACTCATTTTCCATTCTCCATTTAGAGAAGTTGTCTCCAGACTTCACAAAAATTAAAGCAATTAAGACATTTGAGAGTTACAGGCAAATGGCAGAAGACTTTCATTTGTATGGGAGGTAAGAAACATATCTTCATGGATTAATTTTAGAATCTTTCAGCAGCTCTTGGTTAAATTTTGTTATACTGGCATTTTCTAGACTTACAGACTTTGCTTTTAGCTGATTATTCACTTGGCATGCCTGCAGTTAACACTGAATTGACAAATTTGTGGCCTACAAAAGAGTGAGAAGATTGATTCTGTATTAAGTTCATCCTTAAATATCTGCCTCATCTGTAGAAAGCTGCACTGCGTTACACAGCAGCACAACCACCACTCTTCTGTCACAGGAGCAACACATGTTTTATTCATTGCGCAGCATCCTAGAAGTTATACACAGGCATCAAACTAACAGAGCTCAGACCTGAGAGTTTATGGATTGGCACAGCCGTTAGTCAGTCTTACATCTGCTCGTTTTTGCTAGGCAGATGAAAGTTGATTTCTTGGTTTTACCGTCATCACTACCGGCAGTTCAGCTACGAACACACCAGTTATTGAAATCAGCATTATAATAAGCTCTTTGATGTCTTGATAATTGGAGACTTTTTTTTCCCCTCCATTTATTAAGATAATTCTCCAAGGCTGCAGAGAGTTGTGCTTGGTTTGGTTATTCTGCTGTCTCCAAAGGCATCCTTAAAGCCTTTTTCTCCTTAACAGAGGAAGCCACGAATTAACTTTGAAGATAAGCTAAAACAAATATGTTTTACATAGCAGTTTTTTCTTGTTGCTTGGTTAAAGTGATGAGAGAAGCTTGTCCTGGGGGGTGAATGAAAGCACCAGCATTCATTGTGTATCCTCAGATGCTGTCTCTCCACCTTCCCCAAATGCACCTACCTCAAAACCCATAACCCCGCGCAAAGATATTTTGTGAGAAAACAGGCAGAGTAGCTTCTGATCAGCGCTATCCAGCACTAAAACACTATTTCTTTCCAAAAGCTGGTATGACGGACAGTGCTTCCCTGAATCACGGTTTGGGATTTAAATGACAGATACACTGAAGACCTTTCTAGAAAGCAAACAGTACCGTGTGTACCCATTGGTCTCCAGGCAGCCCAGTGCAAGGCCACATCTGTTCTTCACTTGCATAACGATGCTTTAGCAGCTAGACAGAAATGAGATTGTTTGCTCTTTAACAGCATCATCTACAGCTCTGAATACCAAATTAAGCCACGAACCCAGAAGGCTGGTAACCAGAGTACGGGTATGATTTCCTGAATGAACCTCCCCACAAATCACGTCTCTTTACGAGCAGAAGAAAAACAGTATCAATTTCCATAAAAGCTGGCAACTAATACGAAAGCAGCGAGTAGCTGGTTTTGTACATTTCTTCTGGTGAAGGGCTATTTATTCTTTTAAAAGACACAACGAGAATTTACTGGTAAATTCAATGGATTCAGATTATAATATTTGCCTCACATAAGGCAGATTTCAAACAATACATTATTATTACAGTAATGACTTCCAGCTTTCAGTAATATCTTTAACCTGCACACAAAATAGTATATTGAAACACTATGAAGAAGAAACAAATTTTTACTTTGTGTTCAGGCCCACAGAGCTGCAAACAAACTCACTCAACAGAAACATTGCAAAAAAGCTCATTTGAAGAAGTTCTGAGGTCGTGATAGAACTTGGGACTTTTTATTTAGTTATCTTCATTACTTACCAAACACCAAGCTCTTTCCTTCATCATTTTTATATTATTTTATACCTTATCACCAGAAAAACATACATACTTTTACCACTAATGTATGTCAGCATAACAGAATAGGTGAAATACTGCATTTGAAAGTTTAAAATTAAGGGAAGCCATCATTTGGAACTATTTAAAGAATATTTGTCATCTTTACTAAGAAAGTACCTCCTGTTTATTTTAATGAAACACTTTCAGGATGTGACTTGTTTCCTTGCAGTTTAATTTACTTACCTTTTCAGTATCTATTCCTCTGGACATTGACCAGGTGGAAACGATGTAATCCATCACACGTTCACTCAGTCCTTTAGGGACCTGGTAGAGCTTTAGAAAGTCCCGGACACTGTTCAGCATTTCATGATATCTGTTTGTATTAGCATACATTTGCTGAAATATGGTTGTCACATTACCAAAAATAGTTGCATACAGAAGGGCTGTAAAAAAAGAAGAAAAACAATAGATATAACACATAATAAATTGTGATGATCAGTCTGTGTTCCGCTGTGTTGTAAGACAGGAAACGCCAGGCCCACAGAAACGCTTACAATATCAGTGCTTTGTTAGGAAGGTCTCACAAGCACAAGCATTTGTGCTTTTGCACATGGGTCAAGGCAATCCCAAGCACAATTACAGGCTGGGCAGAGAATGGATTGAGAGCAGCCCTGAGGAGAAGGACTGGGAGGTGTTGCTTGATAAGAAGCTCAACATGAGCTGGCAATGTGCACTGGCAGCCCAGAAAGCCAATCGTATCCTGGGCTGCATCAAAAGAACAGGGGCCAGCAGGTCGAGGGAGGTGATTCTGCCCCTCTATTCCACTCTTGTGGAACCCCACCTGGAGCACTGCGTTCAGCTCTGGGGTCCCCAGCACAAGAAGGACATGGACCTGTTGGACTGGGTCCAGAGGAGGGCCACGAAGATGATCCGAGGACTGGAGCACCTCTTCTGTGAAGACAGGCTGAGAGAGTTGGGGCTGTTCAGCCTGGAGAAGGGAAAGCTCCGCGGAGACCTTCTAGCAGCCTTCCAGTACCTAAAGGAGGCCTATAAGAAAGCTGGAGAGGGACTTTTTACAAGGGCACATAGTGATAGGACAAGGGGAAATGGCTTTAAACTGAAAGAGGGGAGATTTTCATTAGATCTAAGGAAGAAATTCTTCCCTCTGAGGGTGGTGAAGCAGTGGAACAGGTTGCCCAGAGAAGCTGTGGATGCCTCATCCCTGGAAGTGTTCAACACCAGGCTGGATGAGGCTTTGAGCAACTTGATCTAGTGGAAGGTGTCCCTGCCCATGGCAGGGGGTTTGGAACTAGATGATCTTTGAGGTCCCTTCCAATCCAAACCATTCTATGATTCTACAGGCCACCTTCGGCACTACAAATAGAGGACAATCACCTACTTTTCTGATGGCAAGTCCTGCAATACAGAGATCCTGAAACACAACTATTTGTCATTGTCTATCAAACAATTCAGTAGTATCCAAACCCTTTTGAAACCACAATAGAAGACATAAGAATTTTAAGACAAATAGCTTGACAGCAAATACTTTAAAATTTCATCTCTGGTTTATAGTGCTGTGTTGAAATGCCATCAGTGACAGATTTCCAAGCTTTAAGTGCATTACCACAGTAGTAAGCCGAGTCATCATTACCCACCTCAGTGTGACAACAACAATGCATCAAAGCAGAAGATGGAATATGTAATAAACAGCTACCATGGGTCAGTGATTTATAGATGTAAGTTTAATAATACATAAAAACTCGCATTATGTTTCATATTCTTCAGGCAGAAGAACAGCAAGGCCTGAGGCAAAAGCTAGAGCCCTCCAAGGCAGACCACTGCACAGCCCTTCTGACTTCATTCAATGCAGTTATGAAGCCAGCTGGTTCATCAAGATGGGTTCAAGAATAAACATGAGAAAGAAAAAAAGGCAGTATTTCCAGGTGCAGAGCGAAGCATATGAAAACACACAGGACTTGAGAAGATCTGCCTGTTGAAGCCCAAAACAGAATAGATGGTGGAAGTCTCTATGGTCATATTTTGATGGCTTCCAGAGGCTGCAGCTGAGACTTTTCCAGTCAATCCAGCCCTGAATGAAAAGAAGCCTCAAGGGGAGCTTTCCTATGTAGGGAATCAGGTCTGTGACAAGTGAGAGGCTGACTGCAGAGGGAGAGGAACAGTCAGACAGCAGATGTGTCAATAACCACCAGTAAGTGCTCAGGCTTGCTAAGGAAGTTCTTCCTCTTTATCATTTCCTGTCCCCCAAAACAGGCACCAAATTGTCAGCATTATATGTGATCCACTCAAGATAAAATTAAATAATTGAGAATTCATATTTATAAAAAAATAAGATTTTATTTTGCCTTATCTAAATACTCCTTTTTGCTGTTTATTTCTTCCTTCACTCTATTTTTTTTTTAAAAAAAAAAGCGCATTTCCTTATCCCATTCATTCCTTTGAGAATGCAGGTATATGTTCAGGTCAGCATTACAGGCAGATATCCTTAAGCCAACTAAGAAGCTTTAGGGGCTTTATGACCAACAAAAAAACCTTTGATAACATGCAAGAGAAACGTACACGACTGTCTTTTTCCCGATCAAGAAATGCTATTTAAACTTAAACTTGCTCAAGGCCTTTATACTGCTGATTCTCTACAGAATTCCTTCTTGATGCTGTATGACTTCTTTTCTTTTTATGAGTTCCTGTAGAGACCAGCTCTCTCCTTTTCCAACTACCCCTCTGTACAGACAAGTATAAAAATCTATATAAAAATGTGCAAACTCAGTTTAAAAAAAAAAAAAAGTGGAGAGTATGAATAGGGATACAGTGATCAGAAACATACAGCTTATTTCTCTGTATAACCTTAATTTGTGCTTGAGCTAAACCATACCTGGAAGTCTGATGCAATGAGTACTGAAGAATGAAGAAATGTTTTAAAAACAGATATATTACAAACACTCCTCAATCCATGAGTATTTTGTATTTGAACAGCATTAGCTTTCCCTAACTATGTCCTGTTTTGCTCTCTAATATGCAGATGAAAACACAATTCTACAATATTGCTACCTCAGGCCCTACTTACATGGACTTTTACCAGGTTCCCTAAGAGAAACCGAGCCCAGGGCCTCTGAAACTACAAAGTCCCACTGGCAGGACACTGCAGCAGCAGAAGGCATCCACAAACATCGTTATTCTGCCAGCCAGTATAGCAGTGATAACAGGCAACAGATTTAGGAAGAGGGTCACAAGCAAATTCTTATCTGTAGATTTCTCAACAACCATACTTGTGCACGTTACAACTGTCTCTTGCTCTCTGGTGAACAGTGAGACCTGCTGGTTCAGTATCTTGGGACGTATATTTCTATGCCAGCAAAGGTAAAATGGAGTCCCCGCTCTCTTCCATTACTGTCCAGCTTCATGAAGCCTAAAGAAAAACCAGACATTTGGTTCTTCATTTTGATTATTATGAGGTGAGTAGTTGTAGAGCAATTTCCACTGCAAATTGCAGCTACCGTGCTCCAGTGTGACAATTATCTTGGCAAGAAAAATTATTCCTGCCTACATTATTTTTTTTATTTAAAAAAAAAAACCTAACTTACAATTCTTAGTTTATCATTATCTAACCACTTTATTACTATTAAAGACACATTAAAGCCACGGATTTTTGCAGCCTAATATTGAGTAGATACATTAGCATATTAAACGTTGACCTCTTCTGCACAGAAACAGCTAGCTGTGTGGCTTTCCTTCTTTTCAAAGGAATAATGAAATATTCTGCAGCCCCAGAAAGATTTCAGAATCAGAAACACACACTCTACTATAGGAAGAAAGTTGGGCAATTTATGACAGAGAAAAATCTGCAAATCCTTGTTTCAAGACCGAAGGAACACTGACATTAGACGACTGCCTTGTAACAGCAAGAGTGCAGGCCATATGCCAACATCCAAAGGTCCCTGGAGCCCTTGGCCAGAGTTTGTAGTGTTGCCCTATAGACTCTATAGAATCTACTAACTCCTTAGCAGTCCTATGTGCAGGGGATCACAGGAACTAAGGAAAAGTATTTCAAGGGGCATAGGAGGATGGGAGGGGGAAATGTCCTCATGTGAGATGGATTCAACTCAAGCAAGGCCACAAGTGCACCATGCAGAAAGATCACAAATTAATCAGATCCCAACAGCTTCCTTGGATGCATCAGCTGGATAGAGGCTGTGCAGTGGTTTTTGAGGAACTGGGTCCCGGAATAAGCCTGTAGCAACCATGCCTACACACCAACCAAGGAGAAAATTTCTTCTTCAGAAGAAGCAATAGCCCGCTCTAACACTGCATACAAAGCTGCAGCACATCAAACAGACAGCAAACATCTCTCCATGAATGTCAAGATCCCTCAGAAAAGATAGAGCCCCTCCTACCCCCCGACATTAATATTCTTTGCTGACAATAGATAAAGAAAAACACATTGTCCCCAACAGTGTGGCTGCCCATTTACAATGCAGTCTGTGTCACCCCATTTAAAGCAGTGTTTAAATAACGTCAAAGATAAAAGCATAGCAATTTCAATAGCCAATTACCCGCACAAGTGAATCATGAAGGTCAGACACAGGTTGGAAAGGTCACCAAATCATCTGCTACTTTTAATGATGTAACAAATAAGAATAGAGAAATAAATACGAGTCAGTGTAGGTCTCAGCTACCACAGTAAAAGATCTGGGATCTGATTTTAGAATTATAAGAGGAAGAATTTCTATCTGTAAGAATGAGAGGTTTGCAATTACCCCAATTACAGATGTAAGTGCTGCATGCAGTTCCTGAGATGAATCATCAGATTGATGATGATTTGTTCAAAATGCACTCATCCAAAGCCCTTGCATACAAAACGTGTGCAGAAGAACCATACAGCAACAAGTGAGACCAACATCAACTAGTGAATAACCTCTTTCATCTTGCCTCCAAGAGTTGCAGTGCTTTCTAAAACTCAACTGCCTTCGTTTTCACTTTCTTGAAAGCTGATCCAGAAAGTCAGTCTGTCTGTCTCCATTAACAATTAAAAAAGCAAAACAAACCCCTTTTACATAACAAAGGAGTAGCCTATGCTCACCTAAATACTATTCAAAGAGCAAGCACCTGGATTTACAAATAGTAGATGATTTAAATGTATAATTGCACTTTCATTTCACTAACAAGTTCCTAGTTTACAACAACTGAGTTCATAGATGGCTGAGAGAAAACAGCGCCCCAAAAACCTGTTGCACTGTATCACTTCTCACTGAAGATGAAACGTAACCGCAAAGTAACCACAAAAATTGCATGCCTCAAAGGCATTTTTCAGATAACATTGTTGTGAGGTCACACAAAATTAACATTGATCAGATAAAAAGAAAAGCAAAAATTAATAATTGTATGGATTATAACATAATTATATGAGAAAAACACATTGTTTTTAAAT